ATGTCTGAAGTTGTTTTGTCAAATTCGAATCTATATCCAAATCCAAGAAGATATCATAATAGTTTTGGTACGGATAATCTAACTCCGTTTACATCTCTAATAAAATCCCTAATTTGTGAAAAAGGTTTCCATCAAGTAGGAAACAACTTATAAGAAGAAACTAACTCATATATGATTTTTTCGGAGGAAGATACTATACCACTGAGCCAGGTCGAAAGTCCTACTAAGTTCTATGTTTACAGGACAATCAGCGAGCTTTGGACTAGTAACATGAATATATTTTGAACTATGAACTTATCGTTCGATTGCTTATAAATATTTAAGAATGTCCTACAATGTGAGATTTTAAAGACGAACGATGCTTAAATAAAAGCTAAAACTTGATATTCCAAAAAAGCGAGGGAGGAAAACTGCATAGGGTAAAAAAAAGTTGACGTTAACATGTCTGAGTAGTCCTTGAAATGATTAAAGATTGTCTTCGTTAGATATAAATCAAGATATAGTATTTGCAAATGAGCATCTTATATGATCATGTTGAGTCAGTAACAACCATTTTATAGAAGGATACAAGGTGCATGATTAACCACGTATTGGGGCGTCAGAAGGGTAATGGATCATGAAGAATTACTTCCGCATCTTCATGAGCCAGGCCCATGTAAGCTTTACTTGTCAGTGATTAATCAAACTAGATAGGTTCTTTATCTGAAATATTAAGTTTGACTCTCAAAGGGATAGTGTCCATTATCATATATTTATCCAATAGATCGACTATTGTTATTTCACATTCTCCTTTTCCTTTGCATGCATACTCATGAGCAAACCCCCAAGCAGGCTGTACTTGTCAACATTTAATGAAACCAGGTCGATTAACTGTCTGAAATAATAAGCTATAGTCCAAAGGTATAGTATCATTACCAGGTATTCATATGGTAGATCAATTATTGTTATGTCATAATCTCCTTTACCTTTGCATACTTCTCTGTTCGAGGATGTAGTACTGACTATGCTGCTGGTTCATATGAGGACAAATCTAACCCTTTCCCTTATTCTACATATACGCATCTAGCATTTTATGAAGCGAGCATCTTTCTACATAGCACACTTAGAGGAAATAAGTTGAGATACAGTGAAAAGATAGACGATTTAATACTATTGGATTGGCGAGAAGTCCGGCCTTCAGTTTATGTTTCCTTTTTTTTCAGTGTAATTGTCTTCCAAATATGTTGACCGCTATATTATGTTCAAGAACCCTTAATTTTAATTTTCCCAAAATTTTAACAAATTGGTTTACTAGAATGTGAGGACCTCTATTTTAACCGAACCAACCTGTAACCGATGGCTTTGTCCGACTCCATGAGTTGTTGGCATGGCTCAACTTTTAGCTGGCACCTCCAGTTTTAGTTTTTTTCACTCTTGTCTCAAGTACACTGAATGGAGATTTAATAATCTATCTGCAAATGAAATCTGAGAGCATCGGAATCGTCCATTTTTTGGATAAATAGATGTGAAACGCTCTCTCTTTCTCTCTCTTTTTTGTGAAAGTATCTGTTCGAGAACGCTGAAAGGTGCGTCTTCTCCTTTTTCTCTCTGTTTTCTTCTCTATTACAATTTTCCATTATTTTCCACATTTGACTTGTATGATTTAGGGCACAGGTTTTAGGGTAGGGAGTTGGGGTAAACGACTGCACAGGTGGGTTCAGAGTGTTCTAGATGGTAAGATCCGCTTACAGATGTAGTGTGTTTCTAAATAACAAGGGATTTTACTCTTTGTCACATTTACGTTGTTTGGTGCAATGTCCCTTTCTTTATTATCTCGTCTTTCATATCAATTAATTTATCAATTTTTATGTGTAAGTCACTTAATTGCCTTTTTTCCCCTTTTTTTGTATCACTTGATTGAATGGGGCGTTCTAATAACTTTAAACTAATCTTTTTCCCCCTGTAATCTATATGGATCTAGAACAAGGGTTGATTTTCACTTAGAAGAAAGAGTATTCATCATTGTATAAAAATATTCTTAGGTTACATTGGCAATTTCGTCATGATTTATGTTATTTGGTGTTTCTTTATTATGTTGGCAATCTTATTCTTAACTAATCAATAAGATCAATTTTTTAATGTAGGATAATTTATCCTTTAGCTTTGATCATGCATAATCATAACTTCCTTTATCCATATTCGAGTTCTACTATAAGGGCCTACCGTTTCTTCAGTGAACTCAACATCAAGTTCCTATGGTCAGCAAGTTAAAATATTAGTCCTCAATTTCCTTATATACTTTAATTTTTCTATTGCTAATATTCTTTGTTTGCTGTTCATATGGCAAGCCATGCATTTTTTGACTCTTTTCCTTCTATTTGAAGTTTGGATTGGAAATTTATCCAACTGCCAGCTGATTATACATAGGCAATAGTTGCCTTTTGTAGAAAAGTTTGTAAACTAACTTTGTAGGTTGTATTAATGATGCATGACCAGTTATGTTTCTCAAATACTTGTTTTCTAGGTATTACCATATATGATATATTTCCAATGGAGAAGATTTGATATTATATGCCTTTTTGACAAACGTATAAAAAGTAGGGAATTCTCTAAAATATATTAGTATCTTTTAATAACTATTGAATTGATCAGTGAAGTTACCACAAATATTACCAAAGAGCCTATGTCTGTGTATGCAGCGTGCATGTTGTTGGGATGGGGGGAGGGTAACATTAGTTATTTAGACTTTGAAAATGAAGCAAGGTCACTGGATTAAGTAGCATATGTAGTGAGAAGGTAATCTATCTATTGGAGAGGCCCTTTACATGGGGAGGAAAGAGCCCAAGGTTTAGAAGAAACCATTCTATATATTAGATATTTGTTGGAAAATTCTACTTAACTGTTTATGCAGAATGACTTTTTTAACTTCTATATGAAATTGGGAGAATTGGACATAAACAAATCACTCCAAAATTCACATTAAACTTCTAATTTTATTGTATGGTTTTGTTTTAATTTAGAGACCTTAATTTGTCACGAAATATCTAACTTTAGTAGGACATTATTAGGATTGAAGAATCTTAGTTTGTTAGAAATTATTTGTTTAGTTAGGATCATGAATATTAGTTCTATCTTATAGGTGAATAAATACATATCATTGTGTACTTTTTCTTGGAATAGCGTATTACTCATACATGGGAGTTCTATGAAGATTTTATATGTGAAGTGATTAATCTAAACATGAAGCAAGACCCAATTCTTCTTTTTCTTCTCCCCCACTGCTGTTACCATCATCAAACCAGCTCTTTTTATTCCCTGTTGCTGTCACCGTTTCCGTTTGTTATTAGCTATCCTGTCAAAACTACACGAGGTAACACAACTCCATGCCCTATAAATATTTTACTTCATATTTTGTTGTGAAGAGAGGGAGTACTAATGGCTGTTATAAACTCATAGTTTGGTAATAAAATAATGAGCATAACTAGTACTATCATTACTTTAATACTTTATGATTCTAATTCATCTGATCTGTAGTTTGCTTTGGGACAGCCAATAGAACGTAATTTTTTAGGGTTCCTGTGACATTCTTTTTTGAGCAGCTACTATAGATTCTTTAGAAACTTTTTTTTTCCTTTTTCTCTATCATATCCTTATGCATACGAAGTTGTTTGGAGAGAATTATCAACAAAAGATGCCCACTGTTCTCTTTATTTTGAGTGAACAAGGTGAACATTCATACCTGTCGTACTAAAATTTGGAAACTAGCAAAACATGACATAAGATCGTAGAATTATATCTTGAATGGATGTGTAAATTAAACTTTAGTCGGAAGTAATTTATAGATCTAGAATATAGAATCTAGAGACTAAAAATAAGGCTGCCCTTATATAAATGAAGCGGGCTCACATATTTTTCCTCCGAAATGAGATGTGAAAAGATGAGTGTTACAACAGCATCGAGGTGTTTTAACAAATTCCATCCTAGATAAATTGCAAGATGATTGTGGGAAAAGATTGCATTATCGGGCTCAGATTTTTGCAGCCAGATGTCACTGCTGTCTAAGTTAGATATGTGAATGTAGCTATAGTTTTTCTTAGCAATGCTTATAATGAAGTTGTTTCTCATGTTTAGGTGTGAAGATCTATCGGTGTTTGCCTGCATTAATGCATATATAGTTTTGTATATACAGTGTGTCTTGAAGAAGGCATATGATATGGAACTACAGATACTATTTTCAGTTTTTTTTTGCCGGTAAGAGTAGGTAAGTAAAATTTCTTAACTTTTGGCATCCTATTGTAGGTTTAGATCTTTAGTCAGCAAGTGAGATTCAGTTTGATCACGGTCAAATGAAGGCTACGTTTTCCTTAAGTGTGACTAGAGCGATAGCTTGGACATGGAAGATGATACATAATGACGTTTTGAGTTCAATGTGAAAGTGAAAGAATTGGAGATAACCAATAAAAGCCTCATCTTGTTAAGAGAAAACCTAGTTTGATTAAGATTATAGAAATACTGGTTTTATTGAAATTGAAGAAATACTAGATTAATTAGGGTTAAAATTCCTCTATTTTAGAAATTTTTGTACTTCAAATTAATAGAAATTTTCTTGTAGCGTAATGTGTAGAAGGCATCTTATTCATTTTGATTTTTTTGTTAGTTTAGATTTCAAGGAAATTTCTTTTAGCCTTATCTAAAACGGAAATTAACTGATCTAGAAATTAGGTTTAGAATTCAAGTTTAGTGACTGTTCAGAATTGTATGATTTAGTTTAGTTGATTAACTGGAGTTGAATATTCTAGTGCAAATTTTGCATTTCAAATGTTCAATTCCGATGTGAAGAAGAACTATAATTCTTTTCGTTTCTTGTTGTCTATTCCTTACTAGAAGCTCTCCCAATAGTGCAACGGTATCATCGCGCTTGTACCATAGTAGAAGCATTTCATTCTGATATTTTTTAATGGGTTTATTTAGTTTATCTATTCAGAGAATTATCAAAGAAATATTTTCCTTTTCTCTTGCAGGTAGAATGAACACAGAAGCTTTTGTGCAATGGATCGAAACTCTACAGCACCAGCTGAGTTTCCGGGAGAGTATTCTTATGATATATTGCCAAACTCAAGGGGTAAGGGAATGCTTTAGTAACCAATGTGACAGTATCATCCAAGAACTCGAGGTCCTTAAGCAGAGTGCTCTAAGTGCTCCAACAAGAAGAGATCACCAAGTACCAGCAAACCTCAGTGAAAGCCATTACCGGCTATCAACTGATATACGCGAGTTAATAGCCTTTTCAGCACAAGAGAGTTTGATTGAAGGAGGATATGTAGACCCGCAAGTAGTTACCAAAGCTGATGTGGAACTTGGAAACTGTTGCATGAAGTGTGGAGGTCAGTTTGTTGAGGGTGAATCTTCGGGGACTTTAGTCTGCACTCATACATTTCACCTGCATTGCATCACAAGGTGGCTTGAAGTACAGGCGAAGTGCCCCTTTTGTGCGCTTTCTGTCTGATGAGGTTTTGGACTGAGATCTGAGGTTGTGTTTAAGTTAAAGAACAGCTCTTTTGTTGTAAGTTCATAAATCTCTAGCATAGGACTCAACTAAGGTAGACCTGATAAGAAACTAGAACATGTATGGTTGTGAGACATATCACTGTTCTAAAATGTTTTTATTTGGTTCTAATGGCAAAACCAGGTTCTAAAATTTTCTGCAGAAAGTAAGCATTATTGATCTATTGATGGTAACTAATCAAATTTTTTGAATCATGTTGGCAACATAAATTGCGTAAGTTCACCACTGAGGAATGAAGGATGCTTGGTTCACATCCCTGGCAGCCATCCATACTTCATGCTGTACAAAATTCGATGACTCTGTACTGGTGTTTAGATTTTGGTTTCACGATGGGATATATGAATGCAAATTTAGAGAAGGGCTTGTTCTGAACATGCACATATACTGGGTATTCGAACACTGATTCTGTGCAGGTTTCAGAGAATGGCTAGACTCTGGATATATGAATACTGATCCAGAAAATGGTTTTCTGTGAATACTCACATATACGAAGTAATTGAACACTGGTTTATAGGTGCATATAGTTGCTTATAAAAATGATTAAAACCTGATTTCTTTCTCTCATCATTTGCTATGCTGTAAATTATAGGATCAGCACGGGGTAATTTAAAGGCGAACTGATGGCTGGTTTTCTTTCTTTTATCTTTTGATTGTATGTGATGGTTTAGTGACTCATCATGGATGACAGATTCCAATTTGATGCAAAGCGGAAGTTCCTCATGGATTCTTGGCTCTTATTTTGATGCTATCATCTTCCTAGTGGACTAATTTCATGGATCTCTTATCTCTGCTTTTGAGCCTATATGTCTCTTTCACTTCTTTCTTTGATCAGTAAGGTGGACTAATTTAGCTATGTAAGCCATTTCTTCAATTGTAATGAGATGGACATTCTTTATCTGCAATATCTTAGAAGTGTAATAAAAATTGTCACGAGATTTGTTGGTTTCATAAGATTGAAACAAATTTGACCCAGAATAGGGAACAAGAAGAGTAAAAACCAATTACACTTCAGGCATCATCTCAACAAGTGAAAGTACAATGTTCAGCTTGGGATACTGCCATACACGATACAAAAGAAAGAGAGAAGAGAGGATTGATAAGACGAAACAACAGGAAGCTGTTTCTGAACAATTCATGAAGCAACTGCATCTTTTGATCAAGGAAGTAGTCACCCCACAATTGTGTAGAAGAAATCACTTGATTTTTGTCAGCTTGAGCATCCTCTGAAAAGTTATCATGATTAAGGAGTAGGAGAAGTCACTCGGTTTTGTAAACGGCTTGAACGCCTCAGAGGAGTAGCAATCACCTTCTTCGGAGTAACTATCACTTTCTTCGCCTCACTTTTGTCGATGATATCCTATTTCATGTATACGAGAGGAAAAAATATTACAAGGACCATCTACTTGAATGTACACAGACAGATTTATGAGATTTTTGCTGTAGGTATGCATCTAATTATTTGCATGCAAGTATAGACGCACCTAATGAACTCATAGAACCATGCAATTAAAATGTTGATTCAACAAAATCTATCAATGAACTGAAATTAAAGATGTATGCCCTTTAAGCAGTTTGCAATACTACAGAGAACAAGTTAACTGACCTCTTTCTTCTCTATCGTTGGGTGTTGAGTGTAAGGCTGAACCTTAATTGATGAAGTTGATGACTTGATTCTCATCTCAGAAACCTGAGCATTGTTAGATACACTTCTCCTTTTAGATTTCGAAATTTCATACTCCTCAAATCTCATGCTCTTCAAATTTTGACCTGAAGCAGCTTTAGAAGCAAGAGCATCAACAATTGAGAACTCTCCGAGCAATTCCACTGTTGGTGGTCTAGTTTCGTAGAACCCCGTAAGCTCATCAGCTGAGTATTTCGGTGAAACAAATTCAACATTTGAATCTCTTTTCTCATCTTTCAATTCTTCGATCATTGAAAATGATGGAAGAGGTGAGACAAGTAATGATTCCTCATGTTCATCTACTGTCTTGTCGTTATGTTGAGACACAGGTGAAGGTGAAGAGGTCCTGGTTGATTTCTGATGAGATTTCGTAAAGTACTTGAAGAGAACAATTACTAAACCAATTACTGCAGCCAACAAACTCAGAAAAAGGAGCAGAAGCTGAAAATCTTTAGAGGCAAAATCAAAATCTTGCTTCCATTTTAGGAAACCCTCACTAATAGACTGGAGTTCAGGTTCTTCCTCTTTGAAATCAGTCTCTATCGATTCCATGCTTTCCTCTTCTTTAGCTCCCTCCTTGGAATCAACCCCTACCAATTCTTCTGAAAGAAATTGGTCATCTGGATCTTCAACAGATTCACTGGTAATTGGACTAGCACTCAAATTTTCAATTGTTTCTTCTTCAAAAATCTCCTCTTCTCCAATTTCTTTCCTTTGGTTAATCTTTTTCTGCTCAAGAGATTCATAGGAATTTACTGGCTCTTCTCTTTCTTCTAAAAACTCAGTCTCACTAATAAATTCCTTCTCCTCTAAATCCAACACTCCATTAACCTTTACTGAATCACCAAGATTGCCCATTACAGAATCATCCAAAACAGGCAAATAATCACTAGAACCTTCAATTCCACACATCTCCTCTCCAACATCCAAGCACACATTGCAAAACCCCAGGTGGGTTTTCAACAAATCTCGATACATCGAATTCCCAAAACTCGGAATGTTTTCTTGAAAAGGACTAGAAGTAGAAGAATTCATTGGAGACAGGTAACGGGGAGAAAACAAGAAAAGGCCAAATAGGGTGAGGAATTTCCATACCATTCCAAAGCACCAAGGCCTCCTCTCTTCTACCTCTTCCTCGTCGGCTTCTTCATCTTCTTCCATACACCGAGAACTCGGTTTCGGAGAAGTAGAAGAAACCGAAACCAAATCCTCTTCTATAGACTTTTCTTCGTTCTGTGAAGCTTCTGAACCATTCAACGATCCTTCTTCATCCCTCATTCGACACAGTATCTCTCTACGACGATCCGGGTTGTATCGGAGAAATGCGGGTCTCGGGGATGTATAGTTTTTAACAGGATCATAAGGAGCAGGTTTCTCTTTTGGGGTTTTTTCAAATTGGGTATTTGGGTTTCTCTCACCCAGAACCTTCTTCTTTGAGAATCCAGAGATTGATTTGATTGGAGTTTGGGGATGTCCTTTGTTCTCGTCGGTCTCGTTGAATTTTTCGCCAAATCCCATTATTCTTTGAGAACCTGTAACAAAGAAAGTAGTACTCAGGGGGTAAAAAAAAAGGAAAAGTGAATTTATAAATTTGAGGAGAGCCCATGAGATTATTACCAAGATGCGATTTTGAAGTGGAGATTGGAGTTTTCTTTGGGTGATCCATGAGAAATCTTGAGTTCTTACTCTTGATTTCTTGATGAAGTGAAGAGAAGAGCTCTATGGGAGAGGTGACCGTTGGAAGAGATAAGTGTTTTATATTACGATTCAAAAATTTGAATCCCTTTTTCGACCGTTGTGGATTTGGAATGGAATAGGGCGAGTATCTGCAGGGATTCGATTAAATTAATTGTGTTAAGATCTGCAGGATTTAAAGTGAGGCAACTGGGCTTTGGCAAATGTCAATGGGCTGGCAAATCCAGCCTTTCAAAATTTACAAATTACGTAGTCTTACTAACAATGAAAGAGAATTTTACATTTCTGTTCAGCATTGTGTTATACAAAATTTGAAATTTTAGATAACTTGGCTTAAATTAAGGGGTCTGTTTCTCAAAATTGGAACATATTTAAACCTAAGCCAATTTTCAGAAGAATTCAATAGGGGGAAAACCGGGACAAAGCTAGTCAAAACTTTCCTTTGGCCAAAAGAAGAGGACTGTTATCACAAATCAAGATAGAACGAGTTTAACTCAGCTAGATTAGCCCCTGAATAAAAATATAGCCAGTTTATAACTTCATAATTTTCCTTTCTCATAGCGTCCGAAGTTCTCACATGTTGAGCTTTATAACTTCATAATTTTCGAGATTTTCAACTCTATAGAAATATGACTTCTTATGTCTTCAGGCTAAATCTTGGATGGTGTCAAAGTGGATGAATCTATTGAATATAAACGTATGGATAATAGATCAGATTAGAGATTACATTTCTAGGATTAGATCTGAAACTCTGTCCAGCCTTTTGATTATAAAGCCAAGCTAAATACAGAAAGCACTGAGCACCACTCAAACATTAGGCCCAAAAATTTTTTATTGTTGATGGTTCCACACACAAAGAACCCCGCAGATTTCATATTTGCAGAATATGTCTGCCGTTTTAGGAACTCTCTTTAGGTATTTAACACGAAAACGATGCAATAAGTTTGGATACCATTGTGTTTTACTTGTTTTCATAGTGTTTTTGCTAAAAATAAAACACCATGCGTTTGAAAATCATGGTGTTTTTTGAGCTAAATCATAATCAAACAAAAAACAAAACACTTATTTCAAAACACTTTTTAGGTGTTTTAAGTTTGGTGTTTCGGGTTTGAGTTTGAGAATGTGTTAATATAATATCTAACATATTATATTAAATGTAATTATTATAGAGTTATTATCAACATGCTTATTATATTATACTATATTATACTATATTATAGTTAATTTAATATATTAGTAATATTTGTTAAATAATATAAAAAGATAATAAATAAAATATCTTATATAATAATAGAGCAACATATTAAATACCAATATTTAATATGTTATTAATATATTATATATAAATAAAATAATAATAAAATATAAATAAACTAATAAAAATAATAAAAAGTTATTGATAATAAATAATAATATAATAATGATATAATAATATACTATACAATAGTATCATTGCTATAATATTATTAACTTTTTAATAAATAAATCGTAATAAATTAATAATTATAAAATATTATATAATAGTAACATATTTAATAATAACAATATAATAATAATATTATAATAACATATTGTATAGTAAATGTAATATAATATATAAAATATTATATTAATAATAGTATAATATTATATTAATAATAAAATAACATTATTATAAAAATATTAATATAATATACAACAATAACAAATTGATATGCCAAAATAATTAAATATATAATTATTTGAAAATGATATGTAATAATTATAATATAATAATAATTATAATATAATATAGCATATTAAAGTATAATATAATATTATAATACATTATACAATATTATATTGCATTACATTTAATACTTATAATACTATAATAATGTAAACTAAATATTATAATAAATTATTATTAATATATTTTATTATAATTAATATATAATATATTAATAATATGTTTAATACTAATGCTATAATTGGTCAAACTAGTGTCAACTAAAAATACTTAACATGGTGTTTTGAAAACATTTTAAGAGAAAAACACAGCACCATGGTGTTTTTTTTACAAAAATACAATAAGGAAAACACCATGGTATCCAAACGAAGCCTAATAATTAATATGAAACTTAACCGTGCGACATCGGCGATGTTGAAAAAACTATTTCATCAACTATAATTGTAATAATTTAAATGATTATACTTTTACAAATATAACAATTATTATCATTATTACATGATCACAAATTATTTTTGTTCCTAGCTTTTACTCAGAACAAAATGCAAAATAATTCACTAAATGATGCACAATTACATCTTGGAACCTTAATATCTCCATTTTCTTTTTACCAACAAAGTTAATCTCTATATTCTCTACCCATTGTGAAAGATTTGTGACTGATACTTACATTTGCAGATTGTACTGACCATTAATGTAACTAAGGTTTCCTTAGACTATATACATGTCCTCTGCTTAATTTCTTCACAAAAACAATAAAAATCATTCATTAAATTTTTTTTAGAAAAACCCAAAGTCTTGATAAAAATCTTCCAACTCTTTCTCCTCTTCATCTTTTTTCTTCTTATCTTTCTTCGAAGGAGGCTGAGAGTTCTTTACAGTGTTAGCATCTTGCTCTTTATATCTTCGTCCAGGTACTTTAGCCATGAATGATTTCAGTTTAGCAGGAAACTCTTCTCTGATGAACTTTGCATAACCCGACGTGATTCTTCCATTTTCATCTACACGTTGGCTGTTGAATTCAAACCCGTATCTTGGACACGAAGTTTTCTGATCATCGGTGTTATCTGCATTTGAGGTTTTGAGAGATTTCAAAGTCGGAGTAATCTGATGATGATCTTTAGTGGCAGTGGTACTTGTTGCATGCTGAACCTGTGATTTCGTAGGTATAGGAAAAGAATGAGAATACCCATATCAGAAGGATTACAGCATGGTGGTCACTGGGCTACGCACTGGAAGTTTTCTGATCATCGGTGTTATCTGCATTTGAGGTTTTGAGAGATTTCAAAGTCGGAGTAATCTGATGATGATCTTTAGTGGCAGTGGTACTTGTTGCATGCTGAACCTGTGATTTCGTAGGTATAGGAAAAGAATGAGAATACCCATATCAGAAGGATTACAGCATGGTGGTCACTGGGCTACGCACTG